AATAATACCAACCACAATTTAGGAAAGAAAACGCAGAGATGAGGAGGTGGTTGAGTTTTGTGCTGTAGTGGCGTCTAAGGCCAGAATAAAAGCTGTCATACTGCCTATGGTTGGACATGTTGAAGTTGGTAACTGCTCTATCTCAGATGTCACTGAGAAAAAAAATGGGAATCAGACAGTAGTTTTAGGGTTTTAGTAGTTTTATGGCGCTACCCGGGCTTTTTGAAGATGGATGTGACTGACTACTTGTAATACTGGAGTTGTAACATCATACCAGACAATTGGGCGGACTATGCCGTTCATCATGGCGAGGTGGCTCATTAAACTGCTTTGTGAGTTACTGGTGACATGCTCCTGAGCAAAATCAGATATGTAGTCATACAGTATTCATTCAATTATATCAATCAATTTTTTTTAAAAAACAACATTTTGAGGCCCTGTTCACTAATACAGGAAAGGAGGTTTTTGTGTGTGTGTGTGTGTGTGGGGGGGGGTTGTTTTTTTTTAGCATGCAGCAGTGTGATTTAGCGGTTTGCACATCTAATTCACAGTTGAGGTGATTGACTGGCAATAAATGTACCCCGGCCCCTTGCCTACAGTCAGCTGAGTTAGGCTCCAGCTCACCTGCGACCATAATGAGCACGAGCGGCATAGAAAATGGATGGATGGATCATTTTATAGCATCAAGTTGTATAGGATCCGTAATTCATTGGGGCACAAAAAATGATCCGTATTTGTATTTGTGTGTAAGGATGGATACACAATACCCCAAATTGTGGTACAAGAGAAGCTGTTGATTTCAAGCGTGTCGTCTTTGTTGAATCACAGCATTCGACTGTGTTAGCTAAGATTGCTTTCTTGCCATTCTTGTTTCGGCTGAGGCAGAAATAATTGATGTGAAACACTGTATTAAATGTGTGTGTGTGTGTGGGGGGGGTGATTTGGCGCAACATCTTGTTTTAGTCGTTCGATTCTTGAGAAAAGGGCATCATGAGTGCAGTCGCCATTGAAAACAAAAGCAAATACACACTTGACTAGAATAATCATGCTTCTCTTGCAACACTATCGGGAAAATGCTGCACGGTTGCTATGCAGCCCTCTGTTGCTAGGCTATAGGTTTATTTTCTGAGTTTTTTTTTTTTTTTTATAAGAGCCAGACTGGTGTTTTCTTTGCTGTCCAGCAAATGTGTTTTCAGTTGGCTTTCCAAAAATCAAATACGAGTGACACTATTCTCAGTTTGAAATGCATTATATTCAAAGAAATCCTTATCATTGCATGTCCAAATGAGCATGCGTTTGCATAACATGCAAGCGTCGTGACATGCAGGACTCACTCGGACGGCAATGAATAAATATGCTGATGATTGGAGATGGGAGACGATATTTAGGAGCACCATGAGTCCTTCAATTGTCTCTTAAAACAGATTTCATTTACAGTCCATATTTTGTTGCTGTTCATTGGCACCTAATCCTTGTCCAAAACATTGCTTTTTTTTTTCCCATCCAGACATTAGTACGCTTAGAATCCCCATCGCATTTATGTACAAGTGGCACAACTCATGGCATTTTTTTTTTAAAGCAATACTCTTTGATAGTCCAAAATGTCTCATCAAAAACAAAACAAATGAAAACAGCAGGGCGCTTTCACTGCACATGCTTTTGGCTCGCCAGATATCCTTTTTTTTTTTTTCCCTTTTCATGAGCACAAACACTTTCAATTTCATGACGTCTGCTCAGCGTTAGTAGTGTGATGAAGGATTCACACCAACCTGTGCTCCTCTCTCATTCAAACGCTCTCCTGGCAGACGAGCACTCGACTCCCTTGACAACTGATAAAGCCTGTAATTATCCAAATGGCAGACTTATCGTGTTACATGAGGCTTGAATAAACACTGTTAACCTGAACAAACACCACGCCTTGATGTGTCCGCTAAAGTCCACTAAAGTGGGATCTCGGATCTCACAGCCTAATGCTGCTTTGAATTCAGCAATGGATCAAGCAGATAACATGTGCACACGCGTGAACATGTAGAACTGCGCTGGATTATACCAAAATTACATCAATCAACTGATTCTATGACAGTCCCAATCAAAACATAACCTATGAAAATGCCCAAATTATTTTAAGGTTGTCCAAATGTGCCAAATATAATACTATGGCTTATTGTTGTCTTTTATCGTTAACGATCACGCCAATTGTATCGTGGTTGCTCTGGCCGCAACTGCCAGTCTATAATAGAAGCATCTAGTGTTTAGCTGGGTGCAGGCCAAATGAGCAACACTCACTATTTGACAGGCTAACGGGAACCACATTAGCTACTATCGACAAATCGTGACAGCACTTATCACTATTGGGCTGACGTTGCATGCATGGGCACTTTTATGTCGGTTGCATACACTCGAGGTTGATTTAGAATTGTGCAGTGTCTACTGAAACAAAGCATATTGGAATTGTGAAAATATTGCGGCGGAAACTAAATTTGCCACCCTGGAAGGGCACCGGTGATGGCAAATGAGAGAAATTCAATCACAGTGATATGACCGCAAAATGGAATTTACTGCAATGGAATGATAGTAAAAGGCCAAAGCGGTGCACACAGCTCCGCCCTGGCTGCCCGGAGAAATATGTTTATGCCGACAGTAAGTCAGCAAATAATAATTAAAACAACAACAAAAAAAGGAATCGAATGTGCACAAGAAAAGGGGTTACCTGGAGGGATTTATTTTGGTATGTGACGGCACATTCTGATTTTATTCGGTGGGCCGCAAACCTTCTCACCCATTGTAGAAATTAATTCACAGAACATATTATTATTATTATTATTATTATTATCATTGTTGTTGTTTTAATCATCCCTCTGGGTGGCACTGCTATGAGCAGGCCACACAAATAATTGGGCAGTCTCTTGACGACTAAAATGTGCGCTCCTCCATTTTGAGACTCCAATGCACAAACTCAGACTTGACTTGGACTCAGACCTTTATGACTGCAGCTCTGATTGAGATCAATTTGATGATGACCGTTTGGCTTCAGATTGATCGCTTGTGGCTGAGGGCTAGTAAAGTGATTACAATGTGAAGGGAACAGATGAAGCTATAACATAATTTCTCCCCAATCAAAGTGATTGATTATAAATAATTGTACAATTGGCTTATGTACGCCTGAAAACAACATCAGGATTCCTGGTGGCGTTTTCATTTAACTTAGCATGGGGCTCCTTTTTAGCCAACATTAGTTTTGGTTTCTGCTATTTAATAATAATCACATACCTAATGATAGATCGGGGATGAATTGCGTCATGTGAAGCCTAGCATCAAGGCGATTTGGTTTGCCATTGTGAAGAAAAATGCATCTTTTGTACTCTACGCAAAAAATACTGCTCCATTAATACAAACTAATTGCAGTAGACGCAAGCTTCCTTATTTTCCCCCTCTACCTAATAATGTTATATCTTAAAGAAGCCAAAATAAGATGCGAGCCACAAGTGAAGCTCAAACAGATTTTTTTTCCCTTCCTTTTTTTTTTTTTTTTGTAAAAGGCTCTGCTAACAAAGCGAGAGCGGCATCAAAATATGCAGAGAGCGAGACTTTGCTTTCTCGCTTCCTCTTCATGTAGCGAATAAATGTACTTTGACATCTCTGGGGAAAACGGTTACTGGTTGCCTTTCTCAAAGCGCAATGGAAATGGCCCTACTTTCCCCTGCCATTTTTTTTTTTTTTTTCAGTTTTGCAAAGAGATGGGTCAGGGAATATGACAAAGCTTCAGGGCATTTAGAAATGGGAGGACAAGGGTTGCTGGAGAAAGTAGGATTATAGGACATGAGACAACATGTCTTGCATGATTTTTTTTGACGACCGCTAATTACAACCATTGAAATATCTTGGGACCAAGTTATTTATATTCCGTGACGTTAATTGAAGCCTGTATTGTTGACTTGTTTGTATTTTTCCAGATAAACAGACGGACAAATGTTTTGTGACAAATTACACATGCAGTACTTGGAGAAAATAGGTTGCTGGTCACTTCACGTTTTCTGTAGGACTTTTTTGTTTGTTTGTTTTTTTTTCCCCATTAATTTCGCAATTAATTGTGACTTCCGAGATCAGACCCCCTGTACTTCTTGGACCTGGACTTACAGAGTTTGTAGAAGGAGCTTTGAGTTTTCAACCGTACCCTACATTGTTATAACCTTCTGAAATTAGGACGAAAGGTTCCGCTTGATGATGATGACGAGCGAGAAGCATCTTTCTCATGAAGTCAGCCACCGTTGATTGTTTGCAAGTTCGTTAACATGCTCGGTACAAATGGATTCTCCTTGTAAAGCGAGTTGTCTGAATACGTAAGCGGGGTTTAAGTGTTTATCGTACATGTAAGCAACTTGCTGTGCATATCTGTTTACAAGTTGCACTGCAATCATGTAAATGAGGCATCGTTTTGTTCTTGCTGCTGCTTAACATGAATTTCCAGTGTGCACGTTAGCGTGGATGACTGCATGTTTTTACGTTTTCATGGCCCACAGAGGAGCTTGGTTTTTTTTTTTCTCTTTTAAGAACACTCTCTAAGCAGCGACAACCCATTTTAGTTTGTCGCTGCCACAGTGGATCACAGGTACGCAAGGGGTAACCTTTGCAATTGTGCGCGGTGTGCTAGAGAATGTCATTATCATGCAGTACTTGTTCTATATGTGCAAATGGTGAATAATGCATTGCGTAAGCGGCGTAATAAACAATGGAGCATTTTAAGTGGCGGCGGCGTTCCTGCATTTAAAGGAACAGTGCATATGCAAGAAATGATGATGCACGTCAGCGATAGACACAGAAAAATATATATCGATTATCACTGCTGATCAATTAAGAGCACAGTTGTGCAATGAATGCACACGACACATTATTTTCAATAATGTATTCCTCCATCATATGACCCGTTCACCTTTGTTTTACGATACAAATTTTACAATGCACATTTCTTACTCATTTTTTTTGTTTGTTTGTTTATTCAGGTGCTCCGGTCATAGTTGGGATGAGTATCAACATAGCAAGCATCGATTCCATCTCGGAAGTTAACATGGTGAGTCACAATGTGGGATCCCGGTGGATGTTTGTCTTCAGGTTTAATGAAACATTCAAAATGGATTAAAGTTGCATGACTGTCACATTGAGTTATACTTGTTATGACATTATGGATAATGTTATGAATTGTGAAAACACTCTGTAATGCACACGATGGTGTGCATTATTTTAAATGAATATATGTATGACATCTTATTTCTTTCGTTTCTCACGGTGGTAATGCCAACATCACAAATCACACATTAATGAGCATGGGCATACATTAATGAATTAGGTTATGTCGATACTTTATTGAAAGCCAAAAAGAAAATTCTGCAATGATGCATAATGACGCCTCTGACCCTCCAAATCTCCGATTCATTTCAAGTTTTCTACTTTGACTACTATTTGTAGCATTTCTTAAAAAAAGAAAACAAAAAAGCACATTGCAGGTGTGTCAAAAAGGTTCCATGGCTGGTTTCACAAACGACATACAGTACTTCGAACCCAAATGACGAGTTTTTCTCCTTCAATGCGAGCCAGACGATCAACCAGCATGTCTCCAAAAAGATTTTGCTTCATTTAGTTTGTGGGAAGAGGCGAGGCGAGTTGTGGCAGGACATCTCATGGCTGCTTCACCATCACAGCCCAACTGTTCACAACGCCCAGAGCATCTGACACTTCCTGCGCACGAAGAACATTGCCACGCTGTAGCCGCCTCCCAACTTGCCCGACTGCCTGTGATTTATTTTTTTCCATCTTTCCCATACTCTGTGACATCATCAAGGGCAATTGGTGACGGCACTTGGATGCTCCCAGAAAAAATCCTTTCAGAAATGCACGGAGGCGTGGCAGAGAAGGATGACATTTGTTTGAAGCATGAAGTAGAAATTTTAATCATACAAATGTATTAAAAATGATATTTTCCCTCCTTTTTCCAGGACTATACCATCACAATGTATTTCCAGCAAAGTTGGCGAGATAAACGTTTGGCCTATGGTGAACTGAACCTCAACCTGACTCTGGATAACCGTGTCGCAGATCAGCTTTGGCTCCCGGATACCTACTTCCTGAATGACAAGAAGTCATTTCTTCATGGAGTGACGGTTAAAAACCGTATGATCCGACTTCACCCCGACGGGACCGTCTTGTACGGACTGAGGTAAAAGCATTGTGATCACTCACTCCACACAGCATTAGGTACAGATCCGACAACTGGATTGAAAATGATAATTTTTGATCGCCAGCGAGCAACTTCATGTTGCATTTGGTGCATGTACTATATTATGTGTGGTAATGTCTTCCTGCAACCACGATGAAGGGTCTGCACGGTCTGTTTTTAACAATCGCATCGACATACCATGTTTTGTTGTAAATTGTTAAACCCAAGGCGGCCTGGTGGGCCAGTGTTTAGCGCGCTGACCTCACAGTGCAGAGGTACCGGGTTCAATTCCAGCTCCGGCCTCCCTGTGTGGAGTTTGCATGTTTTCCCCAGGCCTTCGTGGGTTTTTTTCCGGGTACTCTGGTTTCCTCCCACATTCCAAAAACATGCATGGCAGGCTGATGGAACACTCTAAATTGTCCCTAGGTGTGAGTGTGAGCGTGGATGGTTGTTCATCTGTGTGTGCCCTGCGATTGCTTGGCAACCAGTTCAGGGTGTCCCCCACCTTCTGCCTGAAGACGGCTGGGATAGGCTCCAGCACCCCCCCGCGTCCCTTGTAAGGATTAGTGGATCAGAACATGGATGGATGGATGGATGTTAAACCCAAACATACATTACTCAAGGTGGACTGAGCGTTGAGGAGAAATGACTATTATGTTTTAGTGCTTAGGTGCTCTTGCTCAAGAATAATCTGCAACTAAATTATTGCTTTTCTCTGTTACATGACACACAAAACAGAAAATATGAGCATGTTCAAGAATCATCCTAACAATTGAATAAATCGTAAAAATGCACAGAGGGACATATCTAAGATCCCTTTGAGGAACACGAAAACTAACACAGTGTCCTGAGGTTTGAAAATCAGAATTAATACGCATGCTTTTCTTCACAAGTCTCCAAAATAAAGTGCCGTAGAGGAGTGGATGGAGCTGGAAATATATTTTGTTCTATGAATAAAATGGCAGTGGCAAGGTTTAGATCACACGAAGGGATGAATTATTAATGTGACAATCGGTGTTCAGACTCTCTGAATTACTGAATTTGTTCTGACAAAGAAGGAGATGGGATAGGAATAAGTTTTCTCTTTTCTTCTTTTATGACTCTTTGGAAGGCTATAAACGTACCGGCACAATAGAAATGCGGTATCAGTGTTGTGGCGTATCATGCTCCAGAAGTTGAACTCTTTGATGAATATTCAAGCTTCGCTTGGACTCAATTCACAAGTTGACAGCTTGAACTTCACCGAGGATGCAGATATTTTCAGAGACATCAACGGCTAATCTCTCAGACCTAATTCATAAATGATCTGG